GGCGACTGGCTCACCCTTGTCATTCTTAACAACGGTCATACCTCCCTTCTTTGGTACTACTTGTACAGGGCTAACCCACTTACTATCAGAGATAGGGTAGATTATACCTGCAGTAAGCAATTTCATAACCTTTTTTTTAACTACCTCCATCATGTTAGGATTAAGTCTTCGTTGAGGTTCTACAGAAGAGGCATGATCGTTCTCAAGAATGATCTTATGCATACAAAAAGAAGGATTAATGCCCTTGATATCATCAATGGTGTACCCAATGACACATTTATATGTTTTCAAAACGTTGAGCAATTGCTCCAATTCTGTGTCCTTGAGTTCAGCATTGACAATAACGGGATATGAATTATTTGGACCAAGATATGCATATTTTAAGTTAGAGGGGAGGGGTTTCAACTCTACCTCGGGAGGCTTAGAACTCTCCCCAATACTCATTGCTTCCAATGTCTCTCTGATCGGGTTCTAATTTGGATTGGCCTTTTCTTCATTAAGTAACCTGGTATACTCCTTAGACTGCCAATATCCATTATCATCTCCCTTCCCTAAAAGCACTTGTTCGAGGGCATCATCATTCTGATTCAAGGGAAGTTTCTCGTTCTACAGCTCATCGAGCACATCAACCTAACAAACAGTGTCTCCCATAGAAGGGGCACCCATAACATTCAAAAGTGAGTATTCCAATTTCTCATCACCTACTTCAAAAGTAATCTTACCTTTCTTCATATCAATAATTGCACCTGCAGTAGCTAAGAAAGGTCTACCAAGTATAATTGGAACATTCACATCTTCATCCATCTCCATTACAACAAAATCACAGGGAATGAAAAACTTACCTACTCGGAGGGGTACATCCTCAAGTACACCCAAAGGAAACTTCACTGACCTGTCTGCAAGTTGCAGAGATATGCGTGTGGGTTTGAGTTCACCCATCTGCAACTTCTTGCATATTGACAGTGGCATGAGGCTCACACTTGCACCTAGGTCACATAGCGCCCTGTTGATCTCAATATCTCCAAGCTTCACTGGAATTGTGTAGCTACCTGGATCTCCTACTTTCTTAGGGAGAGTGTTCTGCAAAATAGCACTGCACTCTGCATTCAAAGCAGCTGTAGTATTCTCTTCTAATTTCCTCTTATTAGATAGCATATCTTTCAAAAATTTTGCATAGGAAGGCATTTCAGATATGGCATCTAGAAATGGAATATTAATATGAAGCTTTTTAAGTACATCGAGGAACTTACTGAACTTTTTCTCAAGTTTAGCTTGTGCTAACCTTTGAGGAAAAGGAACCTTAGGCACATACGGAGCAAGTGGCTTTGGTGGTGCTCCCTTTGAATCATCTTCGACCCTAGAGTTGTCAACTTCCTTCTCTCTTGCACCTGCTTCGTCAACAACCTCCCTTGATGGCTCCATGGTAGGAGGATCTTCCGATTGCTTTCCACTCCTCAGGGTAACAACATTCATTTGGCCTTTTTGAGATTGTTCAGTCTGGCCCGGGAAGGTTCCTGGAGTCTTTAGGGCTTGGCTAAATTGGTTGGCCAATTGGCTTATCTGATTCTCCATAAGTTTACCTTGAGCCTGGAACTGTTGGATAAAGCTATTTTGATGTTGGATGGCACTGTATGTTGCGGTTATAAAGCTCTCTAATGTCACCTCTAGGCTTGATTTCTGAGGTTGTTGTTGCATTGGTTGTTGGGCATTGGTTGTTTTCTGTTGGAAACCAGGTGGTGGTTGGTTGTAGGTGTTGGATGGAGGTGGTGGTGGAGGGTTTTGTTGTGCTTGGGAATTTTTGTATGAGAAGTTAGGATGGTGTTTCCATCCTTCATTGAAGGTGTTGGAATAAGGGTCATAAGGTCTCTTTGGGTTAGAGGAGTAGAAAGCATTGGCTTGCTCGATTGACATCTCTTCTGTATTCTGCGAAATCTGTGGGCAATCTGGAGCAACATGACCCTGCACATGACATAACTGACACAACTCCTGAGGGGTGTTAGAAGTTCCTGCTTGGAACTTATCAAACCTGCCTGTTAGTGCTTGAACAGAACTAGTTAACATAGTTAAAGCATCAACATCAAGTTTACCTCCCTTTTTCACAGTGTTTCGGCCTCTAGGATGATAGTTATCATTAGCCGCCATCTTCTCTATGAGCTCCCTAGCTTCGGTGGGGTTCTTTGTCAAGAGAGAACCTCCTGACGCAACATCTATGTAAATACGGAACTCATGAGTCATGCCATTGTAAAAGGTTTGCATCAAAATCCAATCTGGAATGCCATGGTGAGGGCATTGTCTCTGCAATCTTTTAAATCTCCTCCAAGCCTCATAGAGAGACTCATCATCTGACTGCTTAAAAGTTTGTAGCTCATTCCTCAATCTTGCAGTCTTCTCATTCCCTAAAAACTTCACTAGGAAGGCTTTCACTAACTTGTCCCATGTATCGAACGAGCCAGTACCTTCATCTCTTAACCACTCCTTTGCCCTGTCTCGAAGTGAGAAGGGAAAAAGGCGTAGTCTGATTGCATCATCTGTAACACCATTCAACTTCATAGTGTCACATTTCTCCAAAAAGCTATCTATATGGCTTACGGGGCAATCGTGTGGTAGCCCTGCAAATGAATCATTGGAGATGAACTGTATGAATTGTGGCTTGAGCTCGAAATGCTGAGCCGTGACTGGTGGTCTTATGATGCTTGAAAGGACTCTGGTAGTCGTATCAGGAATACCGTACTCCAAAAGGGATTTCGTTGGTTGGTCTACCATGTTTCTATTGGCTTGATTTCTCCTTCTTCTTCTACCTGCCCGTCTTCTTGCGGTTGTTTCGATTTCAGAATCAAAAGGTGCTAGATCTTCTGAACCTGAGCTTCGTGTGGGCATGCAACAAGAAAACTAGAGAAAAAGTATCAAAAACACAAGAGAAAATAGCCGAAGCAACGAAATAAGCCTAGCAAAAATGAATCACAATTAATCTAATGAAATCGTTAGTCCCCGGCAACGGCGCCAAAATAATTAAATAGACTCGAATTTCTACTAAGCAAGAATCAATTATAAGCAATAACTAAGGATCTAAAATTTAGGAAAAATTCGAAAATAAACTAATTAAGATGATTAAATCAAGCAATTAAAAACATCCAAGATCTAGCTTCACCACAACTATTATGGATGCAATTGTAATTCTACCCTTAACATACGATTTCAATCGAACGGGGAAAAGTAAACCCTAATAATTACCAAGGATCTCTCTCGAGTATCAATGGCTTCCCTAACATACAATCAATCCTATTCTCATGGTGTCATGCATATTAAAGACATTAAACACGTTACTCTAACTTCCCAATTATCAAACACAACTACTCTCGTGTTATGAATCAAACCCTAAATTAATTTATTCAAATCCGTTTAAACCCAACTCTCGTTGTGATAAAAGCAATGGAATAATCGCAATACTATAGTTACGTCTAACCTAGCATTGGCATAATCACAATCAATTTAGCAATTCAATTGTTAAAGTTGTTAAAGAATTTAAAGATTTAATTCATGCATCAATAATAATAGGGCTACACTAGATCTTGAATTAAAGAAGCTACTCACACATGATTAAAGAAACAAAAACAATAATAAATAATGAAAAGATAATTAAATAACAAAGGATGAAAAATAAATACCAAATCTTGAATAAAATTGAAAGTAGAAAGCTTGAATCTTGAATCTTGAATCTTGAATTACAAAACTTAGAAAAATAGATGGAGAACTAGTTCTTAATGAGAGAATAAAAATAATATAAGGCTTGAATAAAACTTCATGAAATAATAAAACACCACTTGGTATATAAATAGCCTTAGAAAAGATAAGAAAGTCGGCAAAAAGCTTGGCGCACAAGGATCCCAGGAGGCACGGACGTGCCTAGTGTGAGGCACGGACGTGACTCTCTAAAAACAAAAACGCTGCTGAGTCTTTCTTCCAGGCACGGACGTGCCTAGTTCTGGGCACGGACGTGCCTCTCCTGCTGCGCGTATCACTCATCTTAAATCAGTCATAACTTCATATCCGGAGCTCCGTTTGAGGCGTGTAATATATTGTTGGAAAGGTCTTCAAGTCTAATTTCCAATGCAATTTGAATCACTCTATTATCATTTGTATATCAAAAGTTATGAGCATAACAGTGAACAGGTGTCATATTTGTCAAGTATTTCATCAACGTTTTGCTTCATTTTCAGTCAAGTTCGTCTCGAACACATGATTTAATATTCGTGGGCCTCGACATAGCTTAGTGACTTCATAAAATCTTCAAATTAGCTCCGTTAATCCTGAAATACATCAAAAACAACGAAACTACCCATAAAAGCATTGAATCATTGAAACTAAACCAAATTACACCAAAATGGACTAAAACACTCGACTAAGCTAATAAAACCAACCAAAAATAAGCTAATAAATACGCACAAAACACGACTTATCAATGCGATACAATGATAGTGTGACAAAGTGGGGGTGCTATCAATGGAAATGCAAGAATGCAATGCACCCCCTTTTTTGAAATCCTCCCGACTTACTCCTTAAAAGAAAATGCATGAACGCTAAATGAATGCAATGCATGAGACTACAATGCCTAAGGTGCTCTTAAGGGAAAGTGTAAGGGAAGCTTGTGGGATTAATGGGTGTCGAAATATGTGATACAAGAGATTAGAAATAGCCAACCGTTGAAGAAACATAATATAGCAATTAACTTGTCATCAGTTGCTCTTGTTTTATTTTTATTTTATTTTTATTTATTTTTAATACAAAAACATACTTCTCCTGCAACAATATATATTGAAAACTAGTACAATTTTTGCCTAAAAGCCCTATCCAGAGCTTTGCTTTTTTATTCACCTGCAAATTTTTGAATAATAAAATCAACTTCCACAATCATAAGTAACAGGGTCTAACACGGCATCAGTAACTTTGGTGCTTAATGTCTTCAGCTTTATCGCCTTCTTCAAATCTCACACTTTCCCCTTTCAAAAATCCTGATTCCTAGGAAAACTCGGATCACTAAAGTTAACATAATATAGACCATAGGTGTAGTCATATCCAAACAATAACTCATACGAGTCCAAGAACGACCACACAAAATACCCTTTTGTATTCGATCCATTTCTGCAAACAATTCAAGGGCAAAAACATTAAAATTGTAATCTTGATTGAAAAAAATAGTGGTACACAGTAAACAAAACTGAAATACTTTATGGGTTCTGATTTAATCTTTCACTTTAGGGGTCTCAAATATTTGTTATAATGACTAGTACAATAGAAGGAAAAATATCAACCCTTAACACATTAACCATTTTCCTTCACAATTCTTATACTTTATATTACCAATTTTGTTGTTCTCAATTCACTTTAAATTTTTAAATGCTGTGATATTTACAAGACAATCATCAATAACAATAATCAATAATATATACTAAAAGACACACCAGCAATGACACGTGTCATATTTTTGGTGTGTTCTTAGTTTTATTTTTGGTATAATTAATATTAATATCAAATAGAAAAATATTTCACAAAATCTTTCTAAATAAATTTGGTATAAACCTAAAATCAATATTTAAAATAATTTATGACCTGTATTACAATAAGAAAGAATATTGCTCAAATTATTTGTTTACTTTTGTGTTTATTGTTTATTAAAAGCTACAATTAAAAATTGCAAACATCAAATTAATAATTTATTGTTCCTCAACTAATTTGTGATTATAATAGTTTTCAATCAATAATCTATAACTATATATAGCTATAGGTCACTGTGCATGGCACGTGATCTAATAATACTGTCATTCACAATATTATTATACGTTCACCCTCATTTTCTATTAACATAATTTTAAATATATACCTCCTCAACATTCTCAAAATAAGTCAATTCGTGTTTTACAAAAGCCATATTATTCATCACATTTTCAGCTTATTTCTATTTTGTAACGAGTCAATTGATCCTACTTGTTTTTAATAAAAAAAAAATATCATTTGAATTATTTAACATTACATTATTCAATATGAGTGTTTAGGGTAAAAAATACCCTAGACACGTGGACCAATGATAGGAGGTCACGTGTCGAGTTCAAGATGGCCCACGTGGCCTAATATCCCCTTGACACATGGCCCCCTTGGATAAATCTCTGAAATGGCGGCCTTCAAGGGCCCAAATCCCAAGAAGCGCCGTAAAACGGCGCAGCCCACTAAAATCTAGGTCAAGTGACCTAGATGGGGGAACATTCTCCAATGACCCTATAAATAGGGAGATATTTCCCCATTTTGGGGACACATTCAATCATTTATTACACCTACATTCTCTCTCATCCGAGAAACACCTGAGCTTGAAATCCAAGCAAATCCCCACCTAAATTTTTGCATTCTTTATTCCCTTTCAAGTTACTAACTTGGTCGTCGAAGGCGGAGCTCCAACCACCCGGAGTCTCCGTTGTTTTGCAGGTACCTCTCATCCGGACCAGACTTTGTGACGTAACTCTCCCGAGGGACAAAAACACCCAAAACATTTGGCGCCGTCTGTGGGGAGAGTACCTCGAAGATGGTTCAAGAGTCTGTACCACCTCCTAACCGTCTGGGCGATGACCCGGAAGTTTTCGCAGACCAGGAGGATGAAGATCCTCAGGTCGAAACTTATACAGCCAATGATGGCTCTCTGATAACCAAGCGCATCCGGCCCAGAGACACTCTGGAGCGAGGTGCCACCCAGGCGGGTACCAGTCGACCTCCTAGGCAGCCGGAAGGGGAAACCCACACGGCAGCTGGATCAGCACCCGTCACCCGAGACGAACTCATGAGGTTCATGACAAGTTTCAAGGGTGAAATTAAAGAACTGATCACTAAGAGCCGGGCTGGCCCAAGTAGGGGTCAGTCGGCAAAGAAGACTCCTCTGGAAAAGGGGAAGTCAGTCAGAGATCGGCAGCCAACTCCTCATCTAAAGGAGAAGGCAGCCGGGACCATTGATTGGTCCAAAATTCTTTTGCCTAAGAGGAATACTAACAATCCCCACCGGACTCAACAACCGGTGGGAAGAAAAAAATCAACTCTTAATGTCCGGGAGATCATCACCCGCAAGAGGAATCAGCAGTTGTCTGAGTCGGCTTCTACGTCGAACTTTCCAGACAGCTTCAACAACACCTATGCAGGGAATGCACTTTCCCTGCATGAGAGCCAGACAGGCGGTAATACCGTCCATTCTGGCCCTCAAATGATTAGGACTGTACCGTCTAGCCATTTCAGTTGTAAGTATCCTCCTCATTTCATGCAGTCGGCCTTCCTCGGAGGTTAGGCGGCATACAACACCGTCCAGTCACTGGACTGGCAACTTCGTCTGCTCCACCTGGGTGAACAACCTTCTGCATTCACCCGGGAGATAACCAAGGCGGCACAGCCGGCCAAGGTTAAAAATGTGTTGGTAGGTACCTATGATGGTACCACTAACCCGGAAGATCACCTCATGGCATACACCAACCTCATGTACTTACAAGGGTTGGATGATGCCACTTGGTGTCGGTGCTTCCCAGCTACATTGAAGGGCATTGCCCAAAAATGGTTTGGCAACTTGCCAGCCGGGTCCATTGATAGTTTCAGGAAGCTTGCCTTCCTGTTTGCTTCCAACTTCTCAATGAACATCCCTGCTAAGAAAACAAGTCTTAACTTGAGCACCATTAAGCAGGGAGAGAGAGAAGGGTTGCGCTCCTATGTCAGGCGGTTCAATCTGATCGGAATTCAGATTCAAGGACTGTCTGATGAGGTAGCTTTTACAGACTTTTTCAAGGGTCTGAGAGACGGGTCGACTTTTAGGTTCGACCTAGTCGGAAAAGGGGATTTCACTTTACAGGCGGCCCTGAGGGAGGCGGAAAGCTACATTCAAGCAACCGACCTCTGCTCGCCTGGTAACCAGTCGGACTCCAAGAAGTCCGACAAGCTGAAAGACAGCCGGCCTGCTCAGCCGGCCAAATATAAAGAAGAGAGCAAGAAAAGAAAAGAAATCTGGGCGGTTGACCAGCCGTCCTAGAAGAAGAAGAAGGAATTTAAACCGTACGTTCCTAAGTACGAGTTTAACAAAGACTGCAACTCCATCCTCATGGAAATTAAGGACCGGCTGTCCCTAGAGAAGCCAAATCCAATGAAAAGTTCCATTCAATCAAGGAACAAAAACAAATTCTGCCAATACCATGAGGAAGTTGGCCATAACACCAACGACTGCTTCAGCCTTCAACGGGCGTTGGGCCGTCTGGCTGACAAGGGGATGTTAAAGTCCTACATTTCTAAGTCCAAAGGGACTAATAAGAAGAATCTGGGGCAGTCGTCTAAGACACCCTAGCCTGCTAGTAGTTCGGACACTAAAAAGGAGCCGGTCTACACAATAGCAGGCGGGTTCTCATGCGGTGGCCCAACCATCCGGGGCACCAAGAGCCATCTTCGAAAGATGGACAAAGATGATGATGAACAGGAGTCTGCTAGCTCCTCCTTCCCAGACGTCCTGATCACTGAGAAGGACAGGGGCAGCGTCCGCCGTCCGCCTGATGACCCGGTTGTCATTGAATGTAAGGTTGCCAACCAGCTGGTTGGACGGATCCTTATTGACACCAGCAGCTCATCAAACATCATCAGCCTCCGGTGCTTGCAAAAGCTGAAATACAATGTCAGCAGCATGCATCCGGTTACCCACCCCTTGGTTGGCTTTGGGGGTGGAATGGTTTACCCAGTCGGAAGGGTTGATTTACCAATCCGGCTGGGTGAGAAAGGAAAAGGGCGACACCTGGTCGTCAAGTTCTTGGTCGTTGAGGAGCTGACCGCCTACAACATTATTCTGGGCCGGCCAACCCTCAACGAAGCCAAGGCTGTAATCATCCCTTCCGTCATGCTCATCAAGTATGAGAGGGATGACGGCTCTATTGGTTCCTTAAATGGGGATCAGAAGACGGCTCGGGAGTGCTATCTCTCAGCTGTCAAAGATACTGTGGCCCCAGACGGCCAGGAACCAATAGACCTTGACAACGCCAAGGATGTCAACCCAGCCCCACCAGCAAACGGAAAGAAAAGAAAGGCACCTTTGCTGGTGGAGGTGAAGAAAGAGAAAAAATAGCAATCAGTGACCGGTAAACGGTCAGATGAGCTCCGTCCCCAACCGGCTGGAGAACATGTTGATATATCTCTGGACGACAGCCGTCCAGAGCGTACTGTAAAGGTTGGGATGGTTGCTTATGCTAAGTTAGGTGCAGACTTGCACCTTCTGCTGAAAGAATTCAAAGACATTTTTGCCTTTGAAGTGGAAGAGATGTCAGGCGTCAGCCCGGATCTTGTTTTCCACAAACTCGACGTGGATCCTAAAAAGAAGCCCATCCGGAAAAAGAAAAGAAATCACGGTGAGGAAAGAAGTCAGGCGGCAGCTGCCGAAGTAAAAAAGCTGTTGGACGCTGGGTTCGTTCGGCCATGTAATTTTCCCGACTGGGTGGCGAATGTTGTGCTTGTAAAGAAGTCGAATGGTACCTGGCGTATGTGTGTTGATTACATAGACCTCAACAAGGCATGTCCTAAAGACAGTTATCCGCTTCCTAAGATCGATAGTCTAGTCGATTCAACAGCCGGGCATGCCTTGATAAGTTTCATGGATGCCTACTCCGACTTCCATCAGATACCCCTGTGGAAAAAAGATCGAGAAAAGACAGCCTTCGTCACTGATTAGGGGTTATTCTGTTACACTGTGATGCCGTTTGGCTTGAAAAATGCGCCGGCTACATTCCAACGGATAATTAATACGGTCTTTATTAATCAAATTGGGAGGAATGTGGAGGCGTACATTGATGACATGATAGTCAAATCCAAGCAGCAGGCGGATCACCTTGCTGATTTCCGAGAAACCTTCACCACACTCAGGCGGCATAAGGTTATGTTAAATCCTAAGAAATGCGTCTTTGGTGTTGAGTCTGGGAAGTTTCTCGGATTCCTGATTGATCAAAGGGGGATAGAGGCTAACCCCGAGAAGATACAGGCGGTAAGTGATATGAAGTCACCTCGCACTATCAAGGAAGCACAGAGATTAACCGGTTGCCTGGCGGCCTTGGGGAGGTTCCTCAGCTAGTCAGGTGACAAATGCCTTTACT